TCTATGTCCACTTTGGTGGTCGTTTAGAATTTATTGGTTTCGTTATTTACTTACGTCTTACACAAAAACTAAAATTAAAACGCTGTATTCACCGGCTACTCTATTGCAGTGCCTGGGAAAATGCAACAGTTTCGAAAATACAATTTTATAGTTATATCGAATTTAAGGTGTTTTCGGAAGCGTTTTTAGTATCGGAGCTGCTCTTGGTGGGCGGGGGTTTGAAGCAACTAGATTGAGAATTAGAGAATTCGCCTAATCTTGGTCGGCGAATGCTCGCTCCATGTGCCGCGGGCTGGAGAGTGAAAAGCGAACCAAATACCACGTGCTGAACAAGCGGGAATGCCGATAAAACCTGCAATCAATCGGAAAAAAATTACGTTTAAGTTGTATCTCTAATTATAATTAGTTATACTGACTCCAAGAGAAGTCATTCATTCAGTAGAAGATTGGCAAAGCCCTAGGAGAAGACAAATAATTTATTTCAACGCGGTTTTGATCGCGTTGGGATATTTGTATCCAACATGTTTCGAGTATCCAACATGAACTAATCATCATCAGAGTCCGAGCCTGATTAGATGAAGACAGTGGGCGTTCTTTGGCAACCTTCTATTGCATAACTCCACATTTGTATTCGCCTTATTGGCGTATTGCACTCACTTCAGTCTTGTACATTTTGATTAAACCGCTGTTGACTTTCGACCAAGTCGACACGCCGCTTATGCTCCATAGCTGGTTTGAATGTTCCGCAAACGGGCCAGTTTTCACTTGGTTGATGTACTTTATACAGCTGAGAAACATGTATTCGTCGGCCACTGCGTTCACCACGTCGGGCTTAACGAACATGGGCGGCTCGATCTGTGGATGCGCTGGAAAATATGTTTTTAATCAAAGCGACTTCGACACTCGATAGAGATTGAAACTGCATGTGATGAGATAACTTGCCTATTAACTGCGAGCTACCCCATATGAATGGCACAAATTGGTAGTCGTCTAAACTCCAAACACCGTGACTTCCTGCTGGTTCCATTCTGTAGGTCTGTTGCAGCTTCCTGACCAAGTTCAGGTACCTAAAACCCAGCAGATGACACAGTGCTTGATTGCGAAGTTAACGAACCCTTACTGGACGAACACTTTACAGGCTGTGGCCGCAAAGTCGGGCTCAGTCAAAAACCCGATTTTAAATAACGAGCATAGAAACATGACGAAAGAAATTTCATGCCCAGTTCCATAGTCGATCCTAGTTGCATTGCCAAACCCTTCTTCCAAGTAAACCATTATTTCGGGAATTGCTCGGTAAATATCAGCGGGTAGAATATCCTGCAGCAACTGGATGGCTTCCTAAATGTTTAGCCAATTATCGCTCTGTTAAATCCCATACTATCACTCGGACATACTTCCTTCAATCTACCATACCATGTCTTAAAAGCAACGTTTCCAAAACGCTGGGGCTGACTCACAGGAGGTATTTGGTCCACCCACAAGCTGAGAGTATTGAGCACACCGCATATTTTGTTCACATTTTGCGAAGCCCCTTCAGAGGCCTTTGAGTTGCTTTTGCCTCGGATCGCATCATTGAGGGCATATATAAACCCTAGGTATTCCTGAAAGACGTTGTTCAGTTACTCTATCCACTACGCTCACACGCTATTTACAAAATATGCTTCAGATTTGTCCCATTTCTGCATATCGTCAAGGGTTTTCACGAGTTTCACTGGGGTAACAAAAGCATGATCTTCACTAACTGAAAGTCCAACTTATTAGTGACGACGACAGTTCATACAACTTATTTTGGGTTTTACCTAGAGTTACACTCTTTGCTGGAAGCGGCGGCAGAGCCATAACTGTCGCCAAAAATCGGTATTACTTGCTCTAAAATAGCTTGTATGTTTATTTTGATGGTTGATGTTGACAATCGATGGCAGACATCATGTGTTAAAAGCGGAGTTTTTGCACAGTTTGTAGGTACTTGATAAACTAAACATAGTTGTCTCCGTTAATGCATTGAAATAAAAAGGATGGAATTTTTGGCAGGCTAATCAAACGAACATTTCCTTGGATATCAAATAATTTACTAATATCGTACACAAAATTCATCAATATTTAAAAAAAAGAAAAAAACGACAGCCTCATAAAAATGCCTACTCAAAATAGTAAAAGGAATGTATCGTAAACAAGAATCAAGTGAGATATACAATTACCAAAAGAATTACAGTCAAAGTGATAATAACACCGGCCACCAAAATTACTTTGTCTTCCGAGGCACGTTTCTCTATGAGTCTCATCGTGTGGTTGCTCAGCCCCAAGGTGTTGGCCATGTCCATTATTCGTCTTTGAGCTCCTTTAAGGACCGATCTTTGAGCCCTGAGCGATTCGAGCGTGCTGGCCCCGGTGTAGAGCATTTCGTCCACTCCTCGATTTGCATCCTGCAACGATCCTTGGTGGTTCATGGAGAAGTTCATGTCGATGGCTGTCGCATCGGGATTTGGGGCGAAACGTCTGCTCAGCAACTGTTCCCGTTCTTGTGCAGCAATTTGTCGACGAAGGCGCCTATGCTTCATTGCTTCCAGCGCGGCTTGCAAATGGCTGTTGTCGTATTTCAGCTGGTCGCTTCGCATTTTGCCATTTTGTCTCTGATGAATTGGGAGCTTATACACTTGCAGGTCGAGTTTTTCACAGTTGCTGAAATTTGCCTCAAGAAACTTGAGAAGTTCTAGCAACCCGGGATCGGTGTGTTACCTTTGTATCTGTTTGATGCTTGCGCTAATTTCATCCTCAATGTTCAAAGCATCGGGATTGTTTCCTTCGAGGGCCTTAAACCGCTGCTGCGTTTGTTGTATTAGCTTGTTCGTTTGGTTGTACAACGTGTCCATCTTCAGTATAATGGATTTCCAATGTTTTATTTATCGCAAATCGATAAATCAGGAATTAACGAAAAAACGGCCATGCAATATGTGTTTACGTGGGGCCTTTCTCAAACATAAACAATTGCCCAAAAAGTGTGGTTAGGAATGTGTCACTTTAGGATCGGCGTTGCCACGATTTATACTTTTTTGCAAATCTGATCAGTAATATTGCACGATTTGAATGTACTTTATGTCTGTCCAAGTTTTGTGTTCTTTTTAGTTTTTTCTTAATGTACAATCAAAATAAAACAGTTTCCGTGAAAAAAAAGTGCGGACCGTCCATACTTTTTTGAATTGTTATTTGTCATTGTCAAATGCCACTCACACTTAAACCTCAAAATTGCTCAAAATTTTGTTTATTCCCTGATTTCCCCCATACTGAAAACATCAGGGTTTTTTAAATTCAATTTAAGCAGAAAAAATGCCGTACGCCAATCAACCATCAGTCCATATTACTGATTTAACTGACGAAAACGTGAAGTTCTATGTGGAAGATACCGACCTCAGGTAAATACTCACCACCCCATTTTTATGCACACACTGATCTGTTGTTTTTTAGCGTGGCCAACAGCATCAGAAGAATTCTAATAGCTGAAACCCCGACTCTGGCCATAGATTGGGTCAAGCTGGAGGCGAATTCGACGGTGTTGAGTGATGAGTTTTTAGCACACAGGATTGGGTTGATTCCCCTCATATCAGACGAAGTGGTCCAAAGATTACAGTATCCTCGGGTAAGTTCACTACTTTTTGATTAATAATGCAATGCAGTGAATTTGATTGCAGGATTGTATTTGCACTGATTTTTGCCAAGAATGCAGCGTGGAGTTCACATTAGATGTAAAGTGCACAGATGACCAAACCAGACATGTTACCACTGCAGACCTGAAGTCCAGCGACCCCCGCGTGATCCCAGCCCCTTCGAAGCACCGCGATGACGATTCTAACGATTATGGGGAAACTGATGAAATACTGATTGTAAAGCTGCGAAAGGGCCAAGAGCTGAAAATCCGAGCATATGCGAAGAAGGGCTTTGGTAAGGAGCATGCCAAATGGAACCCCACTTGCGGTGTTGCTTTCGAGTACGACCCCGATAATGCAATGAGGCACACACTGTTTCCAAAGCCGGATGAGTGGCCGAAAAGCGAGTACACTGAACTGGATGATGATCAATGTAAGTACAAAACATTGCGGAATTTAGATGAATGGTCATTGGTCGATTGCTTTGCAGATGAGGCTCCTTTCAACTGGGAGCTGAAACCGAACAAGTTTTACTACAATGTGGAGGCGGCTGGCCAGCTAAGGCCTGAAAACATTGTAATAATGGGCGTCGGCATGCTGAAGGAGAAATTGTCAAATCTACAGACCTTGCTGAGTCATGAGTTGCAAAACGATGCCTTGGCTATAGCATAGTGAAGCGAAATCAAAGCAGTCAATTCCTCATATTATCAGCTTTCGATTTTCTCAACATAATTAAAAGCTACGAATAAGGTTCTGCGGATTTTCAGTTCCACACAGCACCAATTCCTTTCCAGTCTTGTCCAGTTCCGTTTACTCAAAACTGGCTGTTAAGTTTTTGAGCAGGTAAAGTTTGCGTGAACGTGCAGTCAATAACTGTCAGATTTACGTTTTTGTAAAATGAACTGCTTCAATGAAACCATGAAACTGGACGCTTTTAACGAAAAAACCACCTATTTGAATGATTATCCTCCATACTGTGACGTCTCGAGACCGGATATTAAGACGCAGAAGCTGCGGCAGGAGCGTGCACAAAAACCGCTCCCTCAAAGACACTTCGAAGACCAGGAAACGTTCTCCAAATGGAGAGATGATGTGTATGTGCCGTTTAATCTGCTGATGTATCCGAAGCCCATTATACAAACAGATCCAAGAAAGCCGTTTCAGAGGCTGGTAAGCTGATTTTTGGACAAAGCGTTCGGCGTGTTTTAATTATCTAATCAGGCTCCATTGCCTGAAGCTGATCAAATCAAGGCGCTGAAAACCAGACCTCGGATTTACATGACGCCAGCTTGCAGCATCGACGACGTCCCTGATGAGGAAATGCGCCGTCTCCTTTGCGATTATATGTACACGACTGAGTGGCGGAAAGCAGAAATTGAGGGAGCTTCCGGCTTCAAGCCGAAGATTCCCAACATCGAGATCGTTCAGCCTTCGGATTCTGTAAATTATTTGGTAGTCACCCGGTGCGTATTCCCAAGAGCACTCTTTGTAGGTGAGCTTGCAAACGGACATTTATCCTCCGCTGGAGGAAAAGTTCATTCGCATCGGCAAAAGCTGGGATGATGGGCAGAGAAGAGGCTCATCGGATCCGACCAAAGAGTTTTGGATTCACAAAGAGCCCCCAGTTGTGTATGTATTTGCGCTACAATATGTGAAAGGCCAGTATTGTTTCATGCGAAAACTTGCAGATGCGGTGCTTGCGTGAATCCGCTGCAAGGCATCGTAGCTGAAGAAACAAAAAACGAAATTGCTAATTCAATCGCAGCAAATCGGCTGAGATTGGCCCACGACTTGGCTTCGCCAAGCTATGCAGGTTACAGGCCTAGACTACCAATAGGCGTTAACATTTCCCGAAAAGACCTGCCAGTAACACACCCGTTGTTAACAACTGCTCAAGCCATCACCTCGCGTTATGCCCAAGACAAGATAAAGTAGGAGAGTTGGGAACTATTATTGAAAATTAATAAAATTCATGTGATTTAATACAGCTCTCAAAAGCAACTAGTTCTTCCACCTAAATCTAAATAACAATAATAGCAGAGTATAACTAAGAGACTCACCTTGTATGGACAACGAGGATCCCTTTATGCAATAAATAGATAAGAAATAGCTTGACTGGCTTTAACCCGAACTTCTTCCGCATCGTCCTGCATCAGCCGAATCAATTTATCACAGACCATGTCCAAAGACACTTTAGTTTTGTTCTCCATGGACAGCTCCGAGTAGAGCAGGCCGGTAACCAAAGCCGCGTTGCCCCTGATCTGTAGCCAGGGACTCTTCAAGTACGAGACGCTAGTCATTACGAACAGGTAGAACAAATCTTGAAGATCGATGGCCTGAAAGGAGACAGTTGCAGCTAAATGAAGCGGCACAGGAGAAAGCCCTACCATAACTTTTATCAAGTCCCTGATGAAATCGGCGTAATGAAGATTGGCCTCATCAATCAGGTGCTCTTGAATCATCCTGTTCACGTCGGGGCTGTCAAGGTGAGGGGCAACTTTTCTCAAGGTGTACTTGCAAGCCTAAAAATCCCCTCAATAGAGGCCTCGAACGCCCATCACTGATCACTGACCTTTATCACGTATATGTCCTGGTCGCACAGGTGCAGAAGAAGAGTGATCAAATTGCCCTGGATTTGTTCCTTAAAGGCCTCCATGTTGGTGTCTGGATTGAGAGACGATGTCAAGTCCCCTAACAGTTGAAAGGCTGCGCGTCTTAGTTGCACATCTTCTTGGCCGAATATCAGCTTGATGCGAACAGCCGCCGTTACTTGGAATAAATGGAACTTGTAGCCCTCGAGAGCATTGAGCAGCTTGGAAAAGGTCAACAAAGACTCGAGGATAACTTCGCTTTCGCTCCTGCAAAACAACTATCTCATAGATTGTGCAAAAAGACCCCGATGACTTCTTACCCAATATTATTGTAATCAAGACTGTTCATGAGAACTCCCAGAATTTGATTGCAATATCTCGAGACGAGCTCCTTACCCAAATTCTCAGCCGCATATCCCAAACCTTGCAGCCCGATTTTCCTCACCACGCAGCTCTGGTCCAGCTGCACATCCAGAATCATTTCGAGCAGGTTTTCGATAAATATTTTCTTGTCGGTCTGCGCCCCCTGCTTGAGTAAATAGGTGAAAAAGGCCACGACGGCTACTTTTTGCGGGTCCAATTCCGACCGGATGTACGGCCCCAGGCAGGCTGTGATAGGGGATAAGGAATGGGGCATATCTAAGCAGAGATTGTTGACCAGGGTTTCCTCCACTTGTAAAAGCATTGCTTGATCTTCAGATGCGCCCAACGAGTTGAAACAGAGAAGATTCGTGGCCATCGTATTCAAGTCGCAGCATATCAAGAACAGTCTGAAATTGAGCTCGGTGAAACACGCAGTTCGTCTGAAGGCCTGCCATGAACTTACCTGAATGTTTCAAAGGCAACTTTTGCCGGATTCACCTTATAAGCATCTCGACTGAGAATGAAGCCGAATTTATCCTTTTTCTCAGTAAGGCTTTTGACTGTTGGAGCAGAACAGCCAACATAAGACGCCAAGGCGATTAAAAGCAGCGAGAACAGCTCGGGAAATTGCTCCAGACAAATTTCTTTTAGCTGAGTGTTTTTGAGTAGCTCGTGCAAAGCGCAAATGGCCTGCAAAGGCGAAAGACTCGCCACTTTCACTTCGTTGGCTGCATGCACTTCGTATAAAGGAGTGGTTTTGATGAGTTTCTTAATTTGGTCCAATAAGTCCTGGACGAGAGTGTGGTCATTCGACAAAGCTGACCAGCAGTCGCATATGGAGCTAAAATATCGGCCAAGTACAGGATCTAATTAAATCCAGCAAAGAAGATTTTACCTATCAAAGGGCAACGGCTGCATTAGCAAAATGGCGCCAACTATCCTGGAATGGTGTCCAGCTAGGCTGGACAACGCCCTCAAACTAGTGGACTTTGTCCTGGGACACTGAATTCGAGCAAGCTGTGCGATTAGCTTCACAGCTACATGTGTGACGTGATTTTGCATTTCATTGCTCTTGTTCTTCAGCGTGATGTTCAACACGACGCTGGTGCCGTTGGAGCTGGAAGATTCGCAGTCCAGCAGCGACTCGATCAAGCCCTCGATAAAGTGAACCAATTGGAACTGCGGCAAGTTCACGCAAACTATATAGGCCAGGTCGGATGTCAAGTTAAAGAGCAACTTGGGATCGTCTGATTCGATGTTCTGTTGCACGTTCTGAAGGCTGTTGCTCAGGACTTTGTCGTGATCGCGCATTTCGCCCTCGTATCGAGCCGCAATACACAGCACCAAACATACGCAGTCCACTGCCACCTGTAATTGTTGGTCAGTTATTAGATGAATCAATTCGAAGTTAGTTACTACAACCGATTTTATGCACTCATTACCTTTCTAATGTTCTTGTTGGGATCGGTACATCTGGGAATAATCCTCGATAACAAAATCCCACTTTGATTGAACACACTGGGCAAGTCATGGGCAAAGCGCATTCGATCCAAATAAGTCTGCAATACCAGCCTTAAGGTTTCCACAGCTGGCAGTCGCTGTTCAGGTTTCTTCTTCGCCATCCACAACTCGAGAAGTGTTACGATTTCATCCAAAGTGGCCGGCGATAGATTCTGAACCAGCAGCTCATGTACAAACTGGTTCAGTTCGCTGAAGCTCTTCGTAACACATGGCACCATTTTCAGATCCCCAAAATAGCTTCCCGAACCGCTGGGGTTGATTTTGCAGTAAATCGACGAGGCGTTGTAGACGTTGTCGAAAAAAAGCTTGATTAGTCTGATGCGCTCCTGAGATTCTAAAGGCAGAGGAAGCTTTATTAGGGCAGTCATCGCGGCCATTATAACGGGGAACAGCTCCACATAGTCTGGGCCGCTGTGTAGGTGCATTTGGTTGAACACCGCATCGATCACTTTGTCTCTTTCGGCCATTTTAATGTGCAGCTTGTTGCGGTTGGGGTGCATCGCGTCAGCCACGCTTTGGATGGCTCTCAGACACACTTTCTTAATAGGGAACTCTTTGGATATTAGCAGCTCATTCAGCACAAAGTCCAGAATCTCACTCTCGATCACTCGCAACAATTGGTCAGTGGGGGCTTCGTTGCAAACCTCCGCATAGCTGTAGATCATTACGTATCTCAGTCGCTCGATTCCTAGTTCGTGGGTCTGGTTTTTCATGAACGAGAACAGTTTGATGGATTTCTTGTGCAGCACTTCCTTTCTGAGGTGGGCGAGTTTTTCCAGTACGAGCTGCAGGTGGACTCGGGCCGCAATTCCCACTGCCTCAGCACAAGCGTGCAGCTCTGAGTAATCTATCAGGCGAACATTCACCAGCAAGCTGTCGATTGTTTGGAGCACTGTCTCTTTGGACTTTAAGTAAGTTAGAATTATTGCGATAAATTTCAGCAAAAATCTCTTCTCGGCTAGTTTCGTTTGGACTTCGTCCTTGTCCTGATAGGAGATGTTTCTGCAAACAATGTTCTCTGATGGTTTGTTTAGAGGGAGTTTTTAGGGCTTACTTGATGTTGTTGTACAACTCCAGTTGCTTCTGCGCCTTGGACAGCAGGATTTCATTGAAAGCCCCATTCCCGACACTGCTCAGGAGCAAATTGAGGAAATCAAACATTTGATCATGCCACTCCAGCATGTTGAACCCATCGTAATTCTGATCCAGATACTTGGAGAGCTGAGGCAGCTTCAGATCCCAGACTGTTTTGTGCGAGGCCACGTCGCAGGGCTGGATGTTGCGCAGAAAATTCAGGATGAAGGTACCCCTTAGAGATGGCAAGGGGTTCGATAGGAGCACCATCCCCCTTACAAAGGCGGCTTCGCAGCTTTTTGCGGTCTCCCGTTTGGACGCCAAGTAAGTCAGGCAGCGCAGGACAATGACCACGGCATCGTCGTACCCGGTGCTCAAAAAACATTTCAGCAGAAGCTGCCACAGAATTTCGTGCAGCTCGGGAATTGAGGTGGTCAGCACGTAAAGCGCATTATCTGCTGATGTCTGTATTTCCTGCAGTTCCTCTGGCGTTATCTCCGAGTTCTTCGGCTGTGCTTGTTTGCAGCACATTTTCAGGACAAATTCCAAGTAGAGCTCTGCTCCATCGGGATTGAGCTCTGAAAAAATAGAATCAATGTGAAGGGATCGACTTTCCACATCTGTGCTCTCACCTTTGTTTGTCAACACTCGCTTATGAGCTAGGGCGATAACGATCTTGACCAAAATCTTCTTGACTTTGATATGCGAATGGATCAGCATCTCGTTCAAATACTTCAACAAATCCTTTAATCTCCTGTGAATGGTCTGCTCGCTACTGTAGGCGATAAGATGCGTAATAACGATCAGGCCCTTGAGCTTTTCTTTGTCGTTGTTATTTTTTAAATGAACTAAAAGCCTGTCGATTGTGGTATCGGTAAAATGTACAGCGATGCATTCATAGCACCTCAACACCTCAGAATGGCACCTGGCTGAGTCCGGCTGGGCATAGTCTGGATTGAGGCAGATTAAATCAGATAGGGTGCTCAGAATGTTAGAGAGCAGCGGCTCTAGCAACATTCCATTAACGCTTGTCCCTTTTCTGAGCACTGCGTACAGGCACTTGGTGATTACATAAGGATTTATGTTTCGCTTGTACAAGTTCAAGAGACATGGGATTATTTTCGAAATTTGCTGAGACACTTTATCGATGGGCAAAGCTACGAAAATAGCAGACATAGCGTCTAAGACCGTTTCAACCACTTTAGGGTCCTTTGATAGCAACCAGGATGCAAAGAGCACATCATAAGCCATTCCCAGCTCAACCTTAAAAGTTTCTGTGGTGATTGTGGGGTCAGGAACTTGGTCTGCATTGGACACATATTCCACTAAGCCTTCGCAAAAATGCTGTATCGCTGCAACACGCGAAGCATTAGTTAATAGTTTCACTCGCCTTGCTGTTGCCAACATACCGAAGGCGAACGCCTGTCTCAAATGGTCGCTTTTCAGGCCTCCTAAAAGGGGCAAGATAATATTCAGAATATCCTTTAAGTAAGGAATTAGCCCGAAGGGGTTAGTGTTGGCCAACGCGCCCATTGTGTGGGGAATTGTATAGTGGGGAACAACGCCTGCTTGAAGATTTTCAAGCAAAGCATCTGTAACCTACATTCTTTCAGTCACAAGAAGAGTTTTGGATCATGAAACTTACCTGAATGTAATGCAGTCTTCCCAAAGCCACTAAAATATCTGAAGCAGGCATTTGAATGAGCGGCTCATGCAGAGGACTCCCTGTCATAACTTTCATTGCGAAATCAATCAGCTTAAGAACGGTATCGCCATCAATAATAATAATGTGCTCGCAACAAATCCTGCTCATCAGGGCCAGAATGCTGCCCAGATGTTCATTCGGGGACTTTGGAGTTTTCAAGCAGAACTCAGAGCTTGACAGCAGCACCTGATTGGGGTGCTTTTCTGCTAGTTTGGACAGTGAAGTGGTCACAGAGACTCGCACAGCAGCATTTGTGTCTGCTAGAGACTCCAGCAGGACCCCAATTGCCACTGCAAGTCGGGTAAAATGAAAATTTTGCTTCACCATCTGCTTGAATTACCTTGCAGCTGAGTTTCAGCGATTGATTTAGCTTTTCCATTCACGTTGTTCATGTTGCTACCACTTATTTTAACATGTTATCTAAATTAATTGCTCTTTTCAAGTTTACAGTCACTGTTTATCATTGTTTGTGGTCGGGGATTTGTCAACATTGACAACACAACATTTACAGATGATTTTTATCGGGTTATGTTGATTGGAAACCGTTTATTACGTAATCTGCGAGTAAGAGTCGGTTGTGATAAGTGTTCAAGTTCTTCATATTTGATTTGATTTTTTAGCTAGTACTGTAGACTGTAGTTGCTGTAATATGTTGTAAACTCCATTGTTTTACATTTTTTGTCTTTGTTTAGTGCTTGTAATATGACACTGCATGCATCTTTTTTTATATTTAAGCTTTGGAATCGTCGGTTTGCTTTGAGCACAGAAGAACCCATGACACAATGAATACAAGGTAGAATATTAATCGGTCGAAAACTCGATTTTCGTGCGCACATGACGCCGCTGGTTACCACTTTGGTAAAGTGACTAGCTGATCCCATTTAAAATGCATGTAACCTAGACAAATTTTCACTGAACTCAAAACGCAATAGTTCAAAAATGGAAAGTTATATGAGGATATGGTTTGCAGGATTGCATAGCCCAATGCTTTGAAAATCGCGCCTGGGACCTGATTTAGGCTTATTGGGAAGAAAAATACCCTAAAAAATTCTTTACAAAACCTCTGATTTTGAGCGATTTAGCGTGCTGTGTTGCCAGAGTGTCATTTGAGAAATCGGGTTGAGCCAAACGAAATAATGAATTAATTGTATCACAATGAATGAATGCATTATTCATACAATGAATTGATGGTATCATACAATTAATTTATTGTATCACGTTATTGTATTGTATCATGGGGTCAATGCGTTTGGGCATGTTTGGGAATTTTGTAGACAAAACTGAGCATTGTGCGATTGGTAGTTGGAAAGTGTACTCTAGATTGTTTGCTACTTTTAAGTGTCGGTTCAGCAATATAAAAATACCACAAACCGCATACGAAAAGTTTCAGCATTATTAGATTTAGTTACGTGGATTGTAAC